CCTCTCCCCCTCTTCCCCTCTCCCTCTTCTTCTCTTTCTCTCCCACTCTCCCACTTTTGCTTCTCCTGTGAGGTATGCCAGATGAAGAATGTGCCAGGCAGAGGGCAAGAAAGTGGAGTTGGGATTATGCTGCACTCTAGCTGTAGAACCTTGGATAGCATTGACTTCCCTTGGGCCTCAGTTTCCTCACCTCTGAAAAGGAAGATAACTTCTAATCTGCCACCTCAGAAGACTGTACAGATCACCTGGAACAATGGTTATGAAAGTACTATGTCACACATATCCACGAGGGGGTGCGTGCTTAGGCAGGCACAAAGGTTGCACATTGCAAAGAAAAACAGGTCCCGGCCCCAGCCCTGAAGTAGAGGAAGCAAGATTTAATAGCACAAAAGCCACCACTGAGGGAGATCTCATCAGGTGCCAGCACTGAACTGTGAACTTTACCCATCATCTATTAGTAACAAAGTTACATCTCTTGGTTCACTAACTCCTCATGACAACCTTGTGAGGTGGGAGCAGATATTGTCATTATTTAGCCCTGTTTTATACTCAAAACTGACAGAGATGAAGAAAATTGCCAGAGGTCACACAGCTAGGAAGCTGAAAAGTAGGGATCCAGGCCACGATTTGTCTGATTCCAGAGTTTAACCCCTTCTCTCTCCACTTACTCATCTCTGTAAATGACCTCAAAGACACGCAAGAGTCTGATAATAAATGACTCAGCCCACTAGCAGGAGAGCTCTGAGGAACAGACAGATAGCTGTGGAATGAATGACCCTCCAGCCAGCAGAGCACAGGAGGGAGAAGGTCCTCCAGGATAATAGGAGCAAGACACGGCACCAACTGTGGACCATGAAGGACTCGGGAGGCCCTGGCATCTGAGGACACGTTCCTTAGCTGATCTTAGGTGACTGTCGCTCCCTTCAAATTATCTGCACTGGTTTTGATCTGATTCTAACACCCCAGTGCTGGAGTGTAGGAAGTGGAAAGGGGTTTGTCCTGGATTTGCTTCCCTATGGATGGTCCTTCTCCACCACACCCCGACTTTCCACACACCTCCAATCTCCCACCAGGGGAAATGGAGAGGAATCTAAGCTTCAGTGAAGAGTGCTTGGTTGCTCCCTCCTTCGAGTCTCTTCCTGCCCCTACCCTCTGCCCAGTCCCAGCTCACATCTCCTCCTAGGGCTCCCTTGCTACCCCACCTCTAACCTACCTTCACCAGAATGTACTTCCTAACTTCGATACAGGCTGTACATCTTTAATCTGAAAATCCAAACTCTGAAATGCTCCAAAATGTGAAACTTTATGAGTGGTGACTGATGCCATAAGTAGAAAATCCCACACCTGACCTCAGTGATTTGACAGGTCACAGTCAGAATGTAGATGCACTAAAAGTATTGTACAAAGTTACCTTCAGACTGTGTGTATAAGGCATATATGAAACAGAAGGGTTCCCATCCCCAGTATACCTCATTATGTATATACAAATATTCCAAAAAGTCAAAACCTGAGACATTTTTGGTCTCAAGTGTTTTGGATAAAGAATGTTCAACCTGCAGGATGTTGTTCCAGGCTACCCACAAAATAATGCCCAAGCTCCTTGGCATGACTGGCAAGGGCCTTCCAGAGATTGGAATGCTCCACCTCCCACCACAGCTGGTACCAGCATACCCACTGCTTCATCTCCTTACTTGTAACATCCCTGCCTTTGACTTGCTGAAACCCTTCCCAGCCCCACCCTGGAGAAAATATGTCCCCCCTCAGCTGGACCAGCTCAGATGCACCTCTTCGGCAAACATGTCTCTCTTGCTGGCTCCATTTAGACACCACCTGCATTAGCGGTGCACTCAATCCACTTCTGTCCTGGGTGGGGGCAACTGTATGCTCCCTGAGGTGTCACAAGCATAACAACATGCTTGTGAGCATAACAACATACTTGTAGAGTCAGAGAGCCAGGGTTCAGCACCTGCTCTGCTCCTCCCACTGCCAGCTGCAGGACTCTGCCCAGAACACTTCATTTCTCCACATCTCAGGCTCTTCCTCTCTGTGAGTTGCAGATGTGACATGGAGCAGGTAAAGTGCAAACAAGCTGGCACATATGAAGTGCCTGGCAGAGGGGCAAACACATGGGTGGTGTTTAACTTTTCATCACAGGACCCCCTTAAACACACACACACACTGGAACATGAGCAGCAAAGGTGCTCAGTGTGTGGTGGGTGCACTTGAAGGAGCTCAGACGGTGGTGCAGGAGAAACTTGGGAAAGCCATGGCTGCTGGGGAAGCAGGGAAGAAGATGCCACTGAAACAGCAAGACTCTGAGAGATGGGCAATCAGGGCAAGATTTCTGTAGAAGTGCTGCCTTTTAAACTGGAGTTAAAAAAAAAAATTCTTAGCCAGACACAGTAGCATAGGTTTGTAATCTCAGCTACTCAGGAGGCTGAGGTAGGAGAATGGCAAGTTCAAGGGCAACTTGGTGACTTACCCTGTCCTCTGGGTTTCAAAAGAAAAAAAAACTCTTATTAAAGCATGATGTCCATACAGAGAAATACGTAAGTCATAAGTGCACCACACAATGAGCTTCTAGAGAATGAACATTCCCATCCAGACAGCACCCAGACCAAGAAACAAAACATTTCCAGAAGTCCAGAAGCTTCTCTGGACTTCCCTTTCTCCAAGGGAACCACTTTCCTCACCTACAATGGCAAAAATGGGTTCTACTAGGTGTGGAGTTTGTGCAGGTAGAACCACATGGCATATACTCTTTGGGACTCACTTAACAGCATATTGGTCAGCCATATTATGAGGATAGTTGTGCTGTCTCTTTGCTGAGTACTGTTTTCTTGTATGACTGCCACAATCAAGTTATCCCTTCTACAGTTGGTGGGCATTTGGGTTGTTTTTGGCTAAGTTGGCATTTGAAGAAGATGGGAAACCATGGTTGACAGAGGGCAGAGTAGTCCAGATGGGGAAGTGTCCAGAGTAAGAGCGTGGAGGCAGGTCTTATGAAAGGCTAAGCATTATCTGGCATCCAGTGATGGATTGCTGGCTCAGGCAATGTTTTAAGCACTCTGTGTACTCACTCATTGAATCCTCACAATAGCCCTGTGAGGTAGACACTTTGGTCTCCATTTTACTGATGAGAAAATAGCAGTCTAGAGAAGTTACATAACTTACCTAGCTTTACATAGCTAGGCAGTGGCAGAAACCACCATGGACAGCCTTGCAGTCGATGTCAAATGCAGCTTAGGTTCAGAAAGGTTCAATACATTATCTAAGGTCTCACACCCCAGAGCTGAACTCAGCAATGTCTGATGCCAGAAATGTAGCTCTTTCCATGAGGCTCACATGCTCCCTTTAGACTTGGAAAAATGACTAGCAGCATATGGTACTAGCTCATCTGCGTACATGACTGCCAGCAAGTCCTCACCCCAAAGGAAGGCCAGGCAGAAACTGAACTGGGTCAAGGGTGTCAACTTATTCCTTGGGTGATCACCCCAGGGTCACCAAAAGGCAGTAGGGATATTGGGACTGCTCCTAAAGTTGGAGGTAGGTCTAGGAAAAGGCCACTCTGGGTGGACTCTCATCCTCAGTTACCCAAACAATATGTGTCCGTCCTTTCCATCTCCCTGACTGAGGAGCAGCCAGCTGATCCTGAGCCCCAGCACCACCTCCATGGACCTTTTCGATTATCTTCTGCTTTGGGCAAAAGCTGAGACCGAAGGGCCTTTACACAAGGGCCTGGAAGCCAAAGGTCCCGCTTCCCAGTCCCCAGACTGCAAATTAATGACAGGAAAGGCCTAGAGAAAGAGCTGCGATTAGTGAGAAGCCCAGCCATGAGTTTACTCTTCCCTAACAAAGCCTACTCCTGGCCCCACGCCTGCCCTTCTGCTCACTTTCCAACCTTACCAGTCGCTGGGGCTTCAAGGGCAACTTTCAGCCTCCTGGTCTACAGACCAGGCTAAGGGGTGGCAGAAGGAAGGCCACAATAGGATCCATCAGTCTATAAATAGCACCCCAGCCTGCACTTGTTGGGCCCAGGCCAGCTCAGTGCCCACCCTCTCTCTGTTCCCTCTATTCCATGTAATTAGAGGAGGAAGTTATCCAGGCAGCTGCATCCTACCATACAAGAGGAGGAAATAAATGGAAGGTGGAGGACAGAGGGGAAAGAAAGGGCCAAAGAAGGAAAGAATAATGGGAGGGGAAAACTGAGGAAGGAAGGTGGAAGAAATGCATGGGAACCACAGCAGTCACCCTACGGTCATACTTTCCTTCTGTACACCCACTCACAGTCCCCTTTTCTAAGTCCTCAAGGTAGCAGAGAGGAGGTTTTCTGACCTAAACTGCTGGCACCGCAGTCATGTGGCCACAGTGATGTTTATGACTGCTTGGCCTGACCACTGACCTAATTTCTGGTCAACTACCTCTAGGAATGTGTGGCCCCTGACCCCAATTACCAACTTCACTTTGGTCAAGACCCAGCAAACGTATTAGACCGCTGCACTGCAGTCCTCAAGAGATGGGACCAATTGTGTGTGTGTTGGGGGACAGGTAATACTGTCCCTGACCTGGGGGTTAGGCACTGGACCCCCCCCACCTTGAGTAGGAAAGAGGATGTGAAACCTTCAGCTTTGTGTGGCTTCGGTTTCTCAAGCCCTTATCTCAGGCGTCCCCAGTCTATCCAGCTCAATCTGTCTGGCCATCTGTGAACTCTGGTTCCTGTGTGTATCTTCTGGTCCTGACTGTTTATCGTGATGCAGGCTAAGCCTCAACTTCTTGTGACTACAGCCTGCCCCTTTACCTGCCTTGCCCTGGTTTCTGGCTGCTATCTTATTATGTGCATGCGCATAAAGAAAGCTAGTTTCCTAAACAAGCTCCTTTCCAATCCCATCAACACAACCAACAGGTCAGGCCTGAAAGTCCAAACACCCACGAACTTCAACAGTCACCAACTCATCACATTCATAACTAAGATTAAAAGCTGAGCTGAATAAAGAGAAAATGGAAGCTTTCTTGAATTAAATAAACCCAATCATTTATGCACAGACCTGTGAGTACCTTTAGCGAGTAAGACTCTACTGTGGTTTTTCTAAAAAGCATAATACCAGATCCTGCTGGCTTTGGGTAAGACTGCCTTAATCTTACAAGTTCATCAGGCTGGAGGCCCCAGTATGTTTCCTCCAATTACTGTGACTACAGACCAGGCTTGGTGCAGGTCCAGATTATGGAGGCCAGAGCCATGAGTGGGAGGGATTTGTTCTCAGTTAACTTCTGATGAAATTCTTGCATGTGCTGAGGGGTACATTTAGTCTGACTCATTCAGTCTTTCACTGCGGGTTTTTTGGACTGAACTTCAAATACTGAAAGAAATTTGCACTTAGTTTAGGACCTGATTGAGGTCTAAGGCTTCTGAGATCTGGAGCTTGGCCTGTGGCCCAGGATAAGGTGAAGAACAAGATAAAACCACTCAGCTCTGAGGACATCTTGACATTTCACCTCTTTATCCCTGGGCCCTTGTGTGTGTGTGTGTGTGTGTGTGTGTGTGTGTGTGTGTGTGTGTGCTCCCACGCACACATATGAGGGGCACATTGGGAGGGGAGAATAGATCGACCTCACGCAGCTATTTTAGCACCACTGATTGCAACAAAATTGTTTCTTCCAGCTCTCCCTTCAGCGCTCTAGCAGCTTCAAGGATTTTGCCAAATCCAAACCCAGCTCTCCTGTGGTGAGCGAGAAGGAATTTAATCTGGATGATAATGTGAGTTTCAGAATATCCTCTGGGTCCTGGCTACAGGCCCCTGGTGGGGAGTGGAGGTGGGAAGGAGGGGTAGAGGAACTGCTAGGATTGTCGGGCAAGGTCTCCTTTAACAGAAGGCCTGCCTCGTGCACACCAAAGTTCTGGGCCCCAAGCACTCACCTGCATTCCTTTCTATTACAAATTAAATAACAAATTAATTATAAACAAATTGACCTGAGGACAGAACTGGGTCTAAGGAAAAAGAAGAAGGTGCCTCAATTCTAACCCCCTTCCAGCCTCTGCCATGACCCAAAAGACTTCTTTTTACTTCAAGTACTGGACCCAAGCAAGGTCACCAGGGTCCCTGGACCTCCTCTTTTGTTGTCACAGATTCCAGAAGATGACTCAGGTGTTCCTACCCCAGAGGATGCTGGGAAAAGTGGCAAAAAGCTGGGGAAGAAGTGGAGAGCAGTGATTTCCCGAACCATGAACAGGAAGATGGGCAAGATGATGGTGAAGGCCCTGTCAGAGGAGATGGTGAGGCCTGGGGACCTGTAGGGGCACACTGGTGGATATAAGGGTGAGGATGACCATGTGGATAGCCACTGCTCAGGCCTGAAGGCCCTGTTCAGTGCAAGTAGAAAGGTCATATGGGAGGAAGAGCACACCATCAACCATGGATACAGCAGCCAGGCTGAGGGTTCAGAAGACTGGCTGGGAAAGGCAAGGTCTTTGAGGAGGGATGGAAATTTGGGCAACAGAAGCTTCCAGTGAAGACAGGGATGCGAGAGGTGCAGCTGAAGGGGACAGATGAGATGGACTGCCTGAGGCAAATCCATGCACCTCAAAGCTTTGCTTGGAGCTAGCCCCTGGGATTGGGAAGGCCCAATTCTTAGGGGATATAAAGAAAAATAAACATACTCCTCCACTTATGAGGGGCTATGTTCTGATAAACCAATCATAAGTTAAATGCCATAAATAAAAAAGATGGGGTTGTATCTTGATAAATGTATCATAAGTTGAAAACACTGTAGGTGAAAAGTGCATTGACTATCCCAGCACTCTGGGAGGCTCAGGCCAAGTTTAAGAGCAGCGCAGGTGACTAGTGATTCAGCAAGGCACTATCTCAAAATTTAAAAAATTAGAGACGGTCTAGGGGTGTACCTCAGTGCTATAGCCCTGGGTTCAATCTCCAGTACTGCAAAGACAAAAAAAAAAAAAAAAAAAAAAAAAAAAAAAAAAAAAGGAAGAAGAAGAAGAAAAGCAGTGAATACCCCTAACCTAAAGAACATCAGAACTTATAGCAACACAGCCTACTGTAGAGTGTTGATTGTTTCTCCTCATGAACTTGGTGATGGCTAGGAGCTGTGGCTGCCCAGCACCAGAGAGAATCATTCCCCATAGTGCCAACCTGGGAAAAGATCCAAATTCAAAACTGGAAGTGTGGTTTCTACTGAATGTGTGTCACTTTCACATCATTGTAAAGTCCTGAGATTATAAATTGAACCATAGTTAAATTGCGAGATCACAGACAAAATTGAGAAGGCTGGCTTCAGCTCAAGAGGAAGGTGGCAGAGCAGTGGCACAGACACAGCCATAATAGCTTACAGCACACAGTGAGTCTGGTGTGCTTGTAGCTCTTAGAGGAGGCACCAACCTGTAGTGTGCTGGACTCAGTTTATGAGAGCAGTTGGTTAAACTGTCAGGAATTTTGCAAGCTGGTTGTTTAATACAAACATTATTTTTAAAATTATATGTGTATAATTAAATAAATTCTATTTAAAACAAGGGTGATCCCATAAATCTTCAGAATTCATCACACCTGTTCCACCTATCTGTCGTTAAGGATATTTGCATCTATCGTATCTGTGGAGTTGAAATATCCTAGCTATCTCCTCCTCCCACCACTTGTCTGGTGACATCACAGTGGTAACCTGATGTTGGCTATGGTGTGGATATATACAACACAAAAATTGGCAAATCACGGAGGCTTTTATTCTTTAAGAGCCAGGTGTTAAAAAGCATCACTCTGAGATACAGTGAGCTGCACAAAGCTGAGTCAGGCTGAGCTGGTTGTGGGCTCCTGTGGGCCCTGGCTGAGTGACTCTTCATCTGCAAACTCAGGCCAACCATATCACTTATCTCCAAGAATCACCCTGAGGATTAAGTGAAAGTCTGGCACATAGGAGCACAGGCAAGTGCAGTTTGCTCTCAGCAGCAGTGTCTGCTGGACTGGGCTATTCTGCATGTACATCAGCACTTGAAGGTGATGAAGCATATTCACCCAGCACCCGGGTGAGCCTCATTCCAGGAGGTAGGCAGGACAGAGACTGTCAACTAGGGTTCAAAGAGTGTCACTGGGCCTGCAGGTAGCAGAGCGGAAGTTTGAGCCAAGCCCTAGCTCAGTTCTGCTGCTACCTCAGCGAGGCTGCTCAGGGCTTCCTGCCTACCCTCCCTACAGGGAGACACGCTGGAGGAGGGCTCAGCCTCCCCAACATCTCCAGATTGCAGCCTGGACAGCCCTGGTCCTGAGAAAATGGCCCTAGCCTTTGCTGAGCAGGAGGAGCATGCACTCCCAGTGCTCAGCCGCCAGCCATCAACGGGTGAGTAGAGTAGGTGGGGAGCCACCTGCCAAGTCTGGAAGAAAGGATGGAGCAGTGACATGCCAGTGGGCTGTCTGGGAGGGGGTGGTAAGAAAAATGTCTCCTGTCTGCCTGCTGGAAGCTTTCCCAGGCCTCAAGGAACTGATACTATCATTCTCACTCCATTGGTGTGGAAACTGAGGCTTGGGGAGGATAAGTGACTTGCTCAAGGCGGCCCAGTGTTGAGCTCAGCTCTTCCCTAGAGGAGCGTCCCCTTACTGTCCCCAGGCCCTGGAGGGGGCCACAGGCAGAGTAAGAGCCTCATTGCCCTCTTGGACCAGTATATGTCCCCACCCTTCCATGGGCAGGTAGACCTTGGACCTCTGAAACCCCAGGCAGGGGTGCCAAGTATAGGTTCTCTAGCTTTGAATCAGCCTCTTAGACCCCAGACCTTCTTTGGTTGGCTGAGCTCAGGGCACTACTTGGCATCTTCTAGAAGTCTGGGGACTGGACAAGAGGTACCCTACTTGGAGGGGCTGAGGTACCAGCCTGCAGCCCTGAGGAGGCACTGCTTTTCTTGTCCCTCAGACCCATTCCAAGTTTCTCCCTCTGGCTCCACAGACACTTCTCTGCCACTCCCAAAGTCACTTAAAATGCCCATCACCCTGCCCTTCCCAAGGAGAACACTCACCTGAGTTTCTGACTGGGTCATTGTAACCAAGCATTGAATCTTATTAAGTAGAGAAAGTAAAATATTAATACAAGTGTGGCTTGCTGGGGTGGGGGACCCAGTTCCACCACGTGTAAGATGAGAGGCCTCAACAGATCACTTGGCACGGCTGGCCTTTAGTTTCCTCATCTGTTCAGCCGTGTTGGCCCAATTGTACCCCCGAGCCCTCCCCATTTGCCCACTCTTTGGTCTTTGAGCTGTCTGTCCTGTTGCCAACTGTTTTCACTATCTGAGGTCCCAGAGGTGAAGTTGCGCTTCTCCAGGGTGGCTGAAGAGATGGGTCCCAAATCACTCAGCAGAGTGCAGCCTTCCTCCCTAGCATGTACCCTTGGAACGTTTAGAGGGCTCCCTGGAAAGTGCCTGCTGGGCACTGCCAGCTGTCCTGGAACAAAGGTAATTCTCCTCCCTGCCCAATCTCCTACAGGCAGTGAGCTCTATAGTCCCAGCACAGGCTCTGGCAGCTTTGGGGAGGAATCACCTGCCCCACTGTACATAGGACCCTTCTGTGGCCGAGCTCGAGTCCACACCGACTTCACTCCCAGCCCCTATGACCACGATTCACTGAAACTGCAGGTAAGGTTGGCATCCAGACTCCTCCAGAGCCTGGCGGGCTGCAGCCATAAAGGAGACTAGACTGACCCAGGGTTTAAGACAGAATCAGGAGAGGCCAAGTAACTCCCTCTTCTCCTCTCTCCTCCTCTCCCCCTACAGAAAGGAGATGTGATCCAGATCATTGAAAAGCCACCTGTGGGCACATGGCTGGGCCTTCTCAATGGCAAGCTGGGCTCTTTCAAATTTATCTACGTGGATGTGCTGCCTGAGGAGGCTGTGGGGCCTGCCCGCCCCAGCCGTCGACAGAGCAAGGGCAAAAGGCCCAAACCCAAGACTCTGCATGAGTTGCTGGAGCGCATTGGCCTGGAGGTTTGAGCTTGGACCTACACTTGTTTCTCAGATCAGGGGAGGCACACTTGCCACTGGGGTGGGGGCTGGGGAATGACAGCTATTGGTGGGGGTGCGGATTCTAGGTAGGGGTGGCTTATAAGCAGCAGTGTCAGTGACCAGCCTCTGTCCCCAGGAGCACACATCCACCCTGCTTCTCAATGGCTACCAGACACTGGAAGACTTCAAAGAGCTACGGGAAACACACCTCAATGAACTGAACATCACGGACCCACAACACCGGGCCAAGCTGCTCACGGCCGCAGAGCTGCTGCTGGACTACGACAGTGAGTGGCCTTAGGAGCAGGGGGATGGACATACATGCTGTTGGCATTTCAGAGAACAAATGCTTGCTTGGTCCTGCCCCCTGACCACACACTATCCTGGAGCACCTCTGCAGTAGGAAGACACTTTGCACACTTGATTTTGAGTCTCAGGGAGTTTGTGGGAGTAAGGGGTTGTAGAGGTTTTCAGGGTCCACACCATTTTGGATCAAAGGGAAGCCTTAAGGCGAGAGAAGGTAAGGCATTTATGTGAAGCCCCAAAGCTGGGTAATACAGCCTGAGTTTAAACCAGGTTGCCAAGATTCAAGCTCAGTGCTGGAGAAGTTGAAGCCCTCAGGCCACCACGGAGTAGCTTGCAAACAACTCTCACCTGCTTCTAAGCTGGAAGTGGTGAGAAGAGGAGGGTGGTGGAAGAGTCAGAGGGCCCAAATGCCTCCAGGAGACTTCCCAGGGTTCCTAACCCTGCCAAGGGCCTCCCCAGGGCTTCTGGCCCCACATTCTCTCTTCCTCCCCCACCCTGGCAGCTGGCAGCGAGGAGGCTGAAGAGGGTGCTGAGAGCAGCCATGAGCCAGTGGTGCACACAGTGTCGGAACCCAAGGTGGACATCCCGCGTGACTCCGGCTGCTTCGAGGGCTCCGAGAGCGGGCGTGATGAGGTGGAGCTGGCAGGCACTGAGGAGCAGCTGCAGGGCCTCTCCCTGGCTGGGGCACCTTGAGGTAGAGGCTGGGCCTGAGCTACAGAGGCCACAGGGATAAAAGGCCTGGGCCCAGAGGACAGTGCAATGCCTGGCCCTGCTTTCCAGGGTCACTTAAGGTCACAGGCCTGGCCAGAGCCCTATAGGCTCAGCTGGAGTGGACAAAGGGCCACCCAAAGGCACATCCTACCTGCCGGATCCCTCCCTCTTCCAATGACTGACAGCACAGCCCTCCTGGTACCATCCACTCCCCCAGGTCATAGCCATAGCAAGTGGGACATGGAGGGAAGAAAGCTGTGTATACCATATGTTCCTCCTCCCTAACTTGCTTAGAGGCTTGGCTGCCCAATCACTATGAGACTTAAACCAAGTACCTTCCTCTCTCTGGGCTTTGTACTTGTTCGAACAGACTGAGCAGTCACTGAGAACTTTCCTGGCCAGCTCTGACATTCTGTGATTTTAAATGTCTGCTCTTCTGCTACTTGCGGCCTGGTAGAGCAGTGGGGCTTACTGGGGAGGCTGGAGAGGCCTCAGGCTTCCAAGTGAAATGGCTCTTCCTGCTTATCCATTTCACACCTTCCCTCATGGCTCAGGCTGAGTTGCAACTTCCTCCAGTTTAAAACAATGCCTATACCTCATACAATGTGTGCACCCTTCCTGTCCTGGCTCTCTCAAATTAGACTTCCCAGTGGTATACCTGGCCTCCAAAGACACAATTGCCTCTCAGATGCCAGTTGTAGGTCTGGGTCTAGACTTGGCCGCCTGTGTGAGTCCTTACAAACAAAAAAAAGCACTAAGCTTGACACTGGGAAGTCCACTAGCCAACATCACTTTGCTAAAGTTTTGTTGTACCCTGAGCTCCACAAAGTACGGAGGGTATCTGGTGATAAAGGCCTCCCTTGTCCACAATAGCCAGTCTTTGCCATGAATCTCCCAGAGGTGCCCTTCCCTGGTATGGGACAAATAGTGCCCACTACCTCTAGGACTTCCCGCTTTGTAGTCACACTTCTTGACCTGCTACCAGGAACTTTGGGAAAAGCTAGCTTTGGGGAAGGGGCTAGGTGTAAATATGAAGGGATGGAGGGAGACAAAACAAAATAAATAAAATATAGGTAGAATTAAGTTACTGTCTCTAGTTCTTTCCTATGGAGTGATGGTTGTGGGGAGGGACAAACAAGTCTCCATAGCTGGACTCAGCAAAATGTCCCTCCACTGATCTTTCAGGGCCATCCACCCCCTCCTCAATGATGCCCAGTGCTGTTGGTTCTACTTACCTAAAGTTCCATCTGAATCCTTGGCTGGCTCTGCCTCTCCCTTTGAGCAGCCATTATCAGAACAGGGCTCTGGCTCCCATGGCTAGAGTCACAGTCAGCACAGCCTTTCCCCCTTAAACTCTGTGCCAACCCTGTGCCTACTAAAGCTGCATCAGGCAGGATGGGGATGGAGATGGAAATACTGACTTCCTGTTTCTGCTGGATTCATTGCATTAGAGAAGGAAACTGGAGTAAGAGGTGTCACCAGAGTAAAGACAAGGCCATTCTCTTTCCAGGCTGGCTTCTCAGCTACACTCATCGCAGTGCCTGTAGTGACTGTAGGCATCAGGCTCACCCAAGAAGCAAGAGCCTGCACAGCTTCAAAGCTACAAGGGGACTGAGCACAGGCACTGAGAACTTATACCAAGTAATCCTCAGTGTCCCCAAGGTAGGCACCATCATCATCTCAATTTGCAGAGGAGGAAACAGACTCAAAGAGGTTAAGAAGATGCAGAGCCAGGAATCTTCCTAACCCTCAAGCCTGTGTTCTTAACTCCTATACAGTGCTTCTCAAAAGGCCTCTTCCAAGCTTTTCAGAGGTGCAAGCACTTCAGAGGGCAACCTGACTATTGACTCAGCCTTTCCTCTTCCAAGATATGGTCTACAAAAAGAGCCACACAAATGCACAAAGATGGATCTGTCTGCAGTATTAAAAACTTGGAGCCAGGTGTGGTGATAAATTCCTGTAATCTAGAACTCTGGAAGGCTAAAGCAGGAGGATTGCAAGTTCAAGCCCAGCCTGGACAACTTAGTGAGACTCTATTCCAAAATAAAAAAGGGCTGTCCCAAAATAGCTCAGTGCAAAAGCCACAGTTCTATCTCCAGTAACCCAACTCTCCCCTCCAAAAAAAAAAAAGAAAAAAGGAAAAAACATAAACCACCCATTAGGTGGAATCAGGTGTGTCCAACCTGCAGCCCATGGGTTAGACACAGCAAAGTTAGTATAAAAATGTTTAAATATAGGAAGTTTTGTTACTTATATACATTAAATGTGTTTTGTTTTCAGTACTGGGGATTAACCTTGGGGCCTTTATACTGAGTTCCATCCCTAGCCCTTTCATAAAATTTTGAGACAGGGTTTCACTAGTCGCTAAGATGGCCAGGGTGGATTTGAACTAGAAATCCTTCTGTCTCAGCCTCCCAGAGTGCTGGCATAACTGTATTATATATTTTATATGAGACCTAAAACAGTTCTTCTTCACTCTGTGGCCCAAGAAAGCCAGACAGCCCACAGGTTAGACATGCCAATGTGTGTCCATACAATACAACATGGCCATTGAACATGGTACTGTAGATGACTAATGACACAGGGAAAATCTTCGTGAATATTTTTACTCTTAAATTTAAAAATTGTATAAGTATATAACATTTTGTTGTACAAGAAGTTGGTATTTTATCAAGGGAAAAGCCAGTACTTAAAATTATTTATAGGGCCAATCCATTTTTATCTAAGAAAAGAAAAACATATACACAGAATAAAAGATTGAAAAGATCAGCAACAAATGGTTATGGGTGATGGTCTTGTGAGGGACGTGGGATGGGACTGGGGCAGAGAGGGCTAGAAGGGTTCACTTTCTACATTCTTGTTTCATTTGAATTTCAAAGGTATCTATTACTTTTATATCTATGAAAGAAGGAACAATGTTTCAATTTTTTGAAAAATAAAACTAATAAATAGGGCCCAAACCTCTAGCCTCTAATATAATAAAGTAGCAACAAAAGCATCTGGAAAGATGAGGATGGTAGAATAAATAATACCCAAAGTGCTTTAAAGAAATTCCTACACTGTAGAGGGGCCCTATCAGAGGAGATTCTTGAACCTTTTAAAACCCCCAGGGAGTGCTGGGAGCACTGCCACTAGCTAGGCAGAGCACTTGCTTAGCATACACAAGACCCTAGGTTCCATCCCTAGCAACCCAAACAAACAAACAAAAATACCCTGGGTAATGGCTATTAGCTCAATGCTAAAGAAAGGAAAATATCAGAAAAAGAGAAATGCCTACAAAATGATGTTTTGGAATCCTCCCCAACTCTAGAGATGAGGATGGGGAAATGGGAGGATATCTCGGAGCTACTGGGCTGTTTGGCCTGTAAGGTGATTGCAGGGTGTACCAGAGGGCACTACACAAAGGCTCCAATGATCACAGGAATTTGGGAATAGCAGGGCAGGAGGGGTATCAAGGAAATGCAGACAACAGGCCAGGGCCTGAGGAGTGAAAAAGGCAGAGCTGAGCTTCGAAGGTCAGCCTGAAGCTCCTCCTCCAGGCAGAGCTGTCAGAACCTCTTGTCCAGTCTGTGGACTTCTAGAAGATGCCAAGTAGTGTTCTGACCTCAGAAAACCAAGGTCTGGGGTCCAAGAAGCTGACTATTCACAGCTGGAGACCCTATACGCCCTCCCTGGCCTGGTGTTCCGGAGGCCCAAGGACCTTGAGCCTCCAGCTCCCACTGGAAGAGTGGGGTTGTGCTAGTCTCACAAGGAAGACTTCTGCCCTTGAACCCCTTCCTCCAGGGCCTGGGGACAGTAAGCACAACCTCCTCTAGGGCAGGTGAGGCTCAGCATTTAGGACTCACTAGCTGGGCCACCTTAGACAAGTCACTTAACCTTAACCTTAACCTACAGGGCTTAACTTAACCTTAACTTAACTCAACTTAACCTTAACCTACAGGGCTATTATGAAGATTTAATAAACTAGTGTTCATACTTAGCACAGTGTCCAGCACAAAATAAAGGCCCAATGAATAGAATTTCTGGTTGCTTCAATCTATACCACCCTGCCACTTCCATTTCACGTCCTTCAAGGCCTGTCTCACCTCTGACTCCTAGATAGTACAGTGAATAGGAATAAAAGCTTCAGAGTTAAAGTTTCCAAATTCTGGTTACACCACTTAGTAGCTACACGACTACAAGGAAGTTACACATATATGAATTTCTTTACTATAACACAGGAATAATCATCTAATAATACCTACCTCCTAAAGTCGTTAGAGAATAAATGAGGTAATATAAATTAAATTCCTGGCATACAGTGACGATAAATTGTAGCTGCTTGACCTCTCTGTAACCACCAGGCATAAAGGGCACGTCAATATGTGCTTGTCTGCAGACTGACATTCAGTATTGCCACGACCCAGACACAAACTGATATCCAAGCACTCAGTAGGTGATGCTTCAAGGGTTGACAAGGGTGCTGGCTCTGGTACCCAGAGACACTGGTGATGGAGATAAAGACCACTTGAGGAGTCTCAGGAAGCCCTGGCTATACCTAGTTCATAGTAGGATGATTAACTCTAGGCATTTGATTTGTGTTAGACAACTCCTTTGGACTTCCATTGGCTGGTAGAAAGAAGAGGATCATGGCCAGCTTCAAGAAGAAAGAGTCCAGCCAGCTCCTCCCAGTTCACAGGGAGAGCCACCTTTCCCTTCTCTGTACCATCAGCGGAGGCAACTAAGGCACTGGGCCATCCTAACTCAACCCTCTCCCCTCTCACTTGCTGCTTCTGTACCTCATGTACCTCATATCCCCAGCCAGGTTCTGATCAGCTCCCCAAAGGTCTCCACACAGTCCCTCTTCTACCACCCCCAACCCCTATGGCAATGAGTCTCCAGCTTCTGCTAGTTGCTTTCCAACATCTCACTCAATGAGCTCCCCTCTCAGGCTTTTCATGGAAGTGGAGGCTGCAGTTGGGCCATTAGAGACCAAACATGCTAAATTCAGTTTCTAGTAAGAGAAAAAAAGCACTTTGATCCCCATAGCCCCAATAGGGCCCTAGACCTCCCCTCCTCCTGAGCCAGGAAATTCA